ATCGAAGTGTTTAGTAATATTTCCAATATTGAGATTTACTGAACTTCTAGTGATTCTTCATACCAGTTGTGTTCAGTTCAGTAAAAACTTCAGTCTTGTAATTCTAGTAGTCCTGTGAAGTCTTAATACTATTTTAAAGATTTGTTGAAGTGAAGGGTAGAAATTGAAACACCCTACACGGACATGATAAACGTTGTTAATACATAAACAATGACAGTAACATTTCACATTGTAATCTTGCAAAGATTGCACTAGAAGCTTTTCATATATGTAGAAGCCTATTGTTTCCTTCTCAATCTGTTCTTAGGCTTTGTCTAATGGAAAACATAGAGTTCGATATCCGTTGAAATCGGTCAAAAAAGAACTAAAAACATTGGAATTTTTGATTGATTCTGAAACTTTTGTTTTCCATTTCACATATTTCAACCAAACTTTCAGATGGAGGCAAAAAAAAATCATGTACTAGATTTTAATTTTATTTTCTAAAGAGTATGTATTTTTGTAAATGTTTAACCATTAGATATAAATTTTCATAAAGGAGTCAATATTCTTTGAAAGCGATTCATTTCTTCATGTTCTCGTGGTACTCACAACAATAGGGAAAAAAAAATAAATCAGTGAAGGTGATCTTAAAAGCACTGATTTCTTTAGATTAAGACATGTATATAGGAATTAAAAGTATCATGAAACGATATATATTTGGTCAACTAATACTACTTTAGTATAAAATTTCTATTTTACATATTATCAATCATGTCTTCCAGACTTACAAGATTGTCTTTGTCACTAATAAAAGACAATATCATGAAGAATAATTTACTTTTTTTTTATCAAACTTCTGTCCCTGCTATTTTTTTTAATCTATGTCATGCTTTTATATATTTACTCTCTTGAAAACCCCCTACAAATATTTCATAATATTATATACAAATTTTTTTGTTTTTGTTATGTAAACGAGTCATATATATATACAAAATGCAAATTTATTCTCGTTCATGATAAATAATATAGAACAAAACTTATTCAAGCGTATAACTATTCAATAAAATAGACTCTAGTGTTCATTTATATTTGTTTAATTATAAATAAAAAATTTCTTAATTATTTTAATCAAATATTTTATATATTTTCTTTCTTCAATGTAAAATTTTTATACATTTAATATATAAGATTAACTATAAAAATAATTATATTAGTCACAAAAAAAAAACAAATTTCGAATAATAAATTATACAATTGAAAATCATTCGTTTTCAATAATATCAAACAAATAAAAATCATGACTTAAAAATTTACGCCATAAAAATATCGAATATTGGTATTTTCCGCAATTGAAAAGAGAAAGAAAAATAATCAATATTTTTCTTTTCTTTCTTCGAAATAATGACGAATTTGCGAACGTAGTTTTTGATATTTCTCATATATTTCTTCATTATCATTATGCTTTTTTTCCAACAATTATAACGTATATATATATATATCTTGGCTTCCGATTTTGAATGTCATGAAACTTAACAGTATATAAGCTTATGAATATGTGATAATTATTCCATTAGTTAATATACGAGTTTAAAATTTATCGAATAGATAAATTAAAAAAAGTCTATAGAAAGTTTTTTTTTTTGTTGCATACGCTTTATCATTGAATAAGAAATATTAAAGATGTTTCAACCTGAGATACACGATGGTAAGATTTACTAATATGTTTAATTAATTATTTATTTCTTATTTTTATTTTAGTAATTGCAGAAAGTATGTTCATAAATTCTAGTAATCAGGTGTGTAGTTTACAATTTTATTCTATTACAAATGATAATAAACATAATTTTTGTAGACCAATGATACAATTGGTCTAGCCTATGATGCAAACAGTGGTAATGGTACATCTGGTTCGACATAAGTTTAAGCAAATGACCATCCTCATTTTTGGTTTAATGCATTTAACTTGTATATAAGAAAAAAAATATGCAATAATCAAGGCGATAATGTCAGAATCGTATATATATACATATATATAAAATGAACTGAATGCAACTATAAATTGATGGTATATAAATTATGATTTTGTGCTTCATACTTTTTTATGACGTTTCAAAATTGTTTGTATGTTATTATTATATGCTTATTTTAATTGGGATTATTTATTTAAAATAAAGATTTAAAAACAAAACTTTACATTTTCTCTTCCTAAACTCATCATTCAAAAAAAAAGGAAAAGGTATTAGTTGGGTAGTGACATAGTTTGACAAATTGACTTATAGAAAGATTATAAATACACATATGAAAGAAAAGGTGTTAATCTCTACTTGAATAATTATCTAAATATTATCAATAATATTAATTATTGATGTATACAAAAAAAAAACATCGATTTCATCAATAGAATAACGTTGAAGATATAATTGCTAGATAGATAAATATTTTTGAAAGAATTAAAATAATCGATGTTTCATGTGATATTTACTTTTCTTTTTTTTTCATGAGTTGGAAAAGAAATAGTATATATCATTAATTTATCTTATATAATATAGACTTACCATTGATTTTGTTCTAATTAAACGACAAAAATTTATATGTAAGTATATAATACAAATAGTTTTTTTTTTTTGTTAATGAAACATATGTTCGCATAAATAAATGCATACAAGAAAAAGACATGTCATATGAATATTCATTATATTATTAATATTTTTCATTTATTTTTGTTTTTTTGTGAAAAAATGATTTTAAAAAAGATATATTGATAGGAATTTGCACCTGTCTACATAAATTGTGGTAGATATCGTTGATATGTATGACCACAAACAGTAGATCAATATTATCTCATGATAATATTGGAACTAATGTCATGTTACATTTGTCAAGGATTAAAATAAACACGATGGTAAAGAAAATGTACTCGGATTTAGATAGAATAAAAACACTTCCATATGATTAGCACAATCAAATATATCGTGTTTCATATGTTAATCCTGTCAGGATTGTGCTAACAACTTTTATAACTACCGAATATCACCTTTTATTCAAAAGGTTATGTTAAAACTTTTTAAGATACTCGAATAATGTTTTGAATAGAAAATAATAGGTAAATCAGTCAATTAATGTTTTTTTTTTGAATTATAAATCCGTTAATCAATATATTTATTCTAATAGACATTATCTTTTTGTTAATCAAGCTTTAAGTCTATTATGAAATATTTAAAACATTTGTACTTTTTTGGCTACACCCTAAACTTTATCCAATGTTTTTTTTTCTTTTCAAGTACAAGATAACTTATTTGAGACATATATTAACACTTTTTGTTATAATCTAAATTTGAAGATATTTTTCATAATCTTGATAAAATCAATTCGATATTCAATCTAATTCAATTGTTTTGTTTTTTTTCAAAACAAACTTCACACGTAAAAAAATAATCAAGTCCAAAGTCGATTTTCTTCGGCGATATTTTTTTTTTCTTTATTCGACGATTAAATTATCATTTTCTTCGAAAAAAAACACAAAACAAAATAATATGATTAAAACATAGATATCAATGTACTATTAAGCAATATGATTATATCAATATTCTATTTTTATCTCGAATGTACTTTTTTTCATAATACTATTTTCGTTAATAACTATTCTTGCCTAATGTAAAAAAACAAAACGTATTTATCTTAGAAGCTCTACTTATAATTTATGATATTTACAAATATTAATGATATTACATATCCAATTCAAACATATGGAATAATAATAATAATATCACTTTTGTTAATCTACTATTTCTAATCAATGATTATAAACCAAAAAATTTCCAACTTCTAGTTACTTAAATAATCAATAGTAGATTTAAATATTCGAAAACATATCGAACCATAAATAATCAATTTCTTTCTTTTTTTTCCTTCTTATCAGTAAATATTATTACCTATAGTATATGATATTTATGTGTCAAACTTCAATAATCATGCTACGTAAAAAAAGAAAAAAAAGAAGTGTCAGATTATTTTTTTTTCCACATCATATCTATATCGTGCCTGACATTCTTTAAAGAGAAATATTCGTTTTTCATTTCTAAGAATATAAAATCATGATATTACTAGGAAAAATTTTGTTTCCCCCCCCATTTCTCTGATTTTTAAAAAATCATATCAATTCAAACTATATAAAGTGATTGATATTCAATAAATAGAAATATTTGTAAAAAAAATTTATTTATTATTTTTTTCATCATTAATATAATGTTTAATCCATGGAATTGTGATAGTAAGTGAATTTAATTTTTAATTGAAATCGATTAAAAGTTTTTTTTCTTTTTAAATTTAAGATGATGCAGCTAATATGTATGATAATACAAATACACAAGTAAATAAATAAATAAATAATTTTAATTTATTTTTATTATATAATAAATCAATTATTTTAATATTCTATTAGGGTAATGGTGTCATTGGTTTAATATTTACATCAAATGACAATGGTCATCAAACACCTTAATGTTCAATTCTAAGTCAATAGTAGCAAAATATACTTACTCAAAAATTGTATACGCTTTGCATGAATGGTCAAATGATTATAATCAATGTATAAAAAAACAAGAAAGCGAACAAAATGATACGATCGATGTTTTTTTTTAAGGCAAATCGATATTTGTTTTTGAAGTATAGTCCGCATGTGAAATATACATATATATATATAATTGCTTTTACATTAAAAAAAAAGTATGTGTTTAAGATAATTTTCTATGATTGTTTGTGTTTCTATATTCTATTTATTTTAAGAATAAAAAAAAAAAACAAAAAAAAATTAAATTAATCTAGTGGTGAAAATCTAAGTTATTTTGCTTAGAATCAATGATAAAATTTGCATAAAACAAATTATTGCGTGTACTAAATATTAAAAAGCCAAAAAAAAGAAAAAAGAAATATAATCACTGGGGTAAAATAAAAAGAAGCAATACTTCTACTTTTCATATAAGATATAGATATACATAAATATTAAATAAAGATAATATTTAAAATACATTATTTGAAAGCCAGTCAATATCAAACGTAGTTATTTGTTGAATATGTTCGTTGTTTGTAATAAGATGAGCACATGTTTCATCAACATTATTTAATGCAAATGTTAATTCTAAATAAATATAAGAAAAATAAAATTTTCATTGAAAATAAAACTAAAGAATCTTAGGAAATTTCTTTTTATATTTAAAATTTTATATAAATTTGAGATTAAATTAAAAGTAAATTATCAAAAACAAAAAAAATTAAATCGAAATTCAACATATTTCTAAATGAAAAATTCGATAAATCTCTAAATTTAATCCTCCTAAGCTTAAAATCAAACTTGATGTATGGATTTGAATAACAACAAAATACTAAATTTTCTCAATATTTCTTTTTATATATTAAATTTATAATTTATTACGTTGAATTCTATTTGAGAACAATAAACTTAATCTCAAAAAAACAATGATTTAATATGAATAGTTTAAGTTTCTAATTATTCACTATTTTTTTTCACTATTAAAATATTTTCAAGAATAACTTCCTTTACCATTAAATGTCCATAGATCATCATCATTTGTATGTGTTTCTGTAATTTCATTTAATTTATTGATAATTTTTTCAGGATTTTCTATTTGTAATAAACGAAGTAATTGAATAACTCTATAAATAGTATATATTTATTTAAAAAAAAAAAAAAACATTTTTATTTTCTTTCTTACTGATCGTGTGTAATTATTTCATCATGACTTATATCAAATATATCAAACCATTGTTGAATATTATCTATTGTATAATATCCATGATTAACAAATGGTAAAAAAATATCTCGAAATTCGTTCCAATTTATAAATGAATCTAAATAAATTAATTTTGATATAACAAAAAAAAAAAATTTAGTTTTCAAACTTGTATTTTGTTTTTTATTAATATATAATTCAATAAATGATTGTAAATCATTAATTGATATATTTATATTATTATTAATAAATTCATTTATTATTTCCATTAATAAATTTTTATTATTACTATCCAATAATTTACTATTAGAATCAGCACCTATATTTTTAAATATTCTACCAAGTACTACAAATCAAAAAAAAAATAACGAATTTTTTAATAATTAAAAAAAAATTCTTTTTTTTTCTTTTTACAAGATATTTCTGTGCTATATTTATCGTTAGTTTCAGTTGGAAATATTATAATTGGTATTTCTAATGATATAGGTTGATTCTCAATTGGAGTTTGATTAAACCATTGTTTATTTTCAGTTTCTTCTGATAAAACATGTTCATTAATATCATCTGTTTTTTTAATTGCTTCAATTAATTCTATAAAAATTAATATTAAAAAAAATAAAAATTTTATATTGTTTTTTTTTACCATCAACACTTAATTTTCCATCATGATCTGTATCATATTCATCGATAATATTTTGTGCAAGATTAATAGTATTATTAGCTTGAAGAATTTCAAGTAATTCTATAAAGGAAATTTTTATTTTTGTATTATTAATATAATAAATAATATTTTTTTTTTTTACCAGCTATTTCTTGTAATGATAAATGACCATCTCTAGTTGTATCAAATAAATCAAATAATTTTCGAATATGTCGTTCTGTATAACGACCAGTTATTATAGGAAAAAGAATATCACGAAATTCAATCCAATCAAGTGTTTTAGGACGATCTTTCATAGAAAAAAATAAATATTAGTTTTGTTTTGTTTTTTTAATTTACTCTCTTGAGCAGCTGATTGTACAAGATATTTTCTAAGTAAACTATCGAATAATGTTCGTATAAGATGATCACGAAATTCCAAACGTTCAAGTAATTTATCTGGTAAATCATTATTGATTTCTACTAAATCTTCATTATTAGCTAATTCATGAAATACATAACGAAGATCTATACAAACAAAAAGAAGAAAAGTAATCAATCATTTAATAATTGATAAGAAACAAATGGAAATAGTATAGTCTTCACATTTTAGTTAAATAAATATTAATAAAAAAAAAAGTGCTCAAGCATATCAACTCATTAGATAATCGATATGACAAACTTGAGTGTAGAAATACACACAAGGTGAGAATATTAACCTTCGTTTTGATATATTGACTATACACATCAATCTATTACTCCTACGCACTAATGTTTATATCTATCTCAACGATAGAGAGAAGAGGAAAGACAATCAAGTGTATCGGTTATAAAACGAAAAAAGTGTTACATACATAACAGAAACTCGAGAGGTGCTAGTTCACGTTTTTCTAAAACGTTGAATTGAGATAAGCTACACTTCTAGATCTGAATTCGATAAATTATTGAATAATCTCAGAAAAGAAAAATGTGTCTTCTTTCGATTTCAATGATGTCTTTTTTTTGTGCCGCCCACGGAAAAATTCTTCCGAAAAAAACCGTGGTAATCTGAGGTTAACCGCGGTTTTGTTCCACATTTTGAAAAACCGCAAAAGTCAGACCTTTTATGCGGTTTTTGGAAACCGGCGAAAACCGCATAAAAGGTCTGACTTTCGCGGTTTATGAAACCGCAGTTTTTTCTTGAAAAATTTTTCCGTGGGCGATATATATACGAAATAGTATTGTAATAGAAAGCCTATTCTCGAATTGTGATCTACAATTTTGCACCTATGAAGAACTTCACTACATTTACTTCGATGAGAAAAACTAAGAAGTTTTGAATAAAATCGATTCGAAATATGAGACTTTCAAAAAATCCATGCTCTATATACTATCCATGAACAAAAAAAGGTCTACATCTTGAAAGTCTTATATTTCGATGAGATTTTGTTCAAAATTTGTAAATTGTTTTTAGAAAGGAAGTCTAGTTGAATTAATATCATTGAAATCTGAAGGTGGATAGCTGTAGAGATGCTCTCGTTAGTTGAAAAATAGCATTATATTAACCAGCAAGGAAATAGAACAATTAATTGATAAACGATATCAAATGAAAATATATTATAGGCAATTCATAGAATTGCAGTTTCATATTTTTGTGTATCCGACTTCGAGTCTGAAAGGACCCTGCAGCTCCATAACAATGAGTACAAAAAGGCTATAGTTAATTTGAAAAGAGAAATATTAATATGTACTACTATCGGCGGCAGAATTCAAGGCAGTCGGATGTTTTTTGAATAACTTTTGATAGGAACAAGATAGAGACCTGCGGTTTTCAGCATTTGATAGCGAAGACCCAAGAGCAGATTTTCATAAGCAAAATCTTTGCTGAGAAAAAATTCGAAGATCGGTTTTTCAGCGGATCTTTGGAAAACCATGGTGGATTCCTGAAAACTGCCATAGGAGTATATTGATTTTTTTTTTACATATTCGGAATCAGCATCAAAAACTGAGTTGATTCATGTATGTTTCGAATCTTTCAGGAACTTTTTGTTTCGCCGAAAAATTCACCCCTGGTCCTCCTGAGGAAGAGATCAAAAAATAAAGTCAGTCAAAAAGTCACTTGGACAACAGAAATCGAGTTCGGAGCTTCTAAAATGCTAGTAGAACATAAAATGGCAAATGAATAAACAATAAAAAAAGGAGTTTTGGCTGGCTTCATTTTTTGACCCACCCTCATGGGGACCAGGGGTGAATTTTTCGACGAAAAAAAAAGTTCGTGAAAAGATTCGAAACATACGGGGTTCGACTAAGTTTTCGATGCTGATTCCGAATATGTAAAAAAATCAATAGACTGTTATAGCAGTTTTCAGAAATCCAGCATGGTTTTTTAGAAATTCTCTAAAAAACCGATCTTCGAATTTTTTCTCAGCAAAGATTTTGCTTATGAAAATATGCTTCTAGGTCTTGGCTACCCAATACTGAAAATCGCAGGTCTCTATCTTGTTCCTATCAAAAGTTATTCAAAAAACATCCGACTGCCTTGAATTCTGACGCCTATAGTAGTAGTAAATTTCATATGATTCAAATCAGATGGACACTCTCAACTGCTTACATCAATGTCTTTTAATGTTATAAAGTAATAAAAAAAAACAAAAACGTTCTAATTGAATATTCATGAATGCCTATTATTAACGAAGTTTAATTCGTTCTACTAACCTTGCATAATAACTGCTAAACTTGGATCATCATCATCATCAGATATTATTTCAATTTTTTGAGAAATTGGTAAATCATCAACTTCTAAAATAAAAGAATGAAAGAGTTTTATATAAAATTAAAATAAATAACAAGTAACAAATTTCATGACCTTGAATATCAGATAATGATGTATTTCTTGATAATTGCTTGTTTATATCTTGTGTTGGTAAAGGATTAAACTTATCTTCTTCATTATCATTTTTGTGATCATCATTAATTATTAATGAAGAAGTAAAATCAGTCGAATAATCATTTTGAGTTTGATCTGTAAGAGAAGAACTAATTTCTTCTTCTCTTTGTATTTCTTCTGATATATCATCTTGTTTTAATTCTAATTTATTATCGTTATCTGATAATATATTTAAATTTGTTGGTGAAGAACTTTGTTGACTTTCATCTTGTTTAATATCACTTAATGAAAATGATAATGATTGTGATTCATTTAATTTAGTATCTAGAGGAATTTCATATTGCTCTATTTGTGATGATTCAATAAAATGTATTGATTGATCATATTCATGATGATCAATTTCATTAAATGATTTATTTAATTGATTTTCAACATTGGATTCATTTTCTGAAAGAAATTCATTTTAAAAAATTTTGTAAATCATAATTCTAAAGTTTTATTTTATTAAATATTAACTCAAAGATAAAAACTTATGTTTCGAAAGACGAAAAAGAAAATTTTCGAAAATTGAAAAATCATCAACTAACCTACTAATGTTGTTGTTTGATAATCATCAATAGTCATTGGTACAACATTTTCTTGAATATCAATATTTGTTGTAGGAACATTTTGTGAAGGAAATATCTGAATTTCTGATGATATTTCACGATCTTCTGAAACTGTTGAAGATGATTCATGCAGATCAGAAACTAATTGTTGATATTCTGTTATTGGTGATGTAGTAGGTGAAGAAGGTCGTCTTTGAATATCAAATGGTATTATTGAAGCATCAGAAGAAGCATGCCATAATGATAGATCAGTATCTAATTGTTGATATTCTACTATTGGTTGTGTATTAGGTAAAGGAGACAATCTTTCAATATCAGGTGGTATTACTGAAATATGTGATAATAGTTGATGTTCATGAGAAAGTGTTGTATGTGGTTCATGTACATCAGAAGTTAATTGTTGATATTCGGAAGTTATTGGTGTCGTCGAAGCATGTGATAATGGTTGATGTTCATGCGAAGATGTTGATAGTGGTTCATATATATCAGTAGTTAATTGTTGATATTCTGTTGTTACTGGGATAGTAGGTGACGAAGGTGATCTTTGAATATCAGATGTAATTGTTGGAACTTCTGAAGAAATTTCTGATAATGATTGTGGTACTTCAGATATTGTTTGATGATCTTCTTCAAGTGTTGAAGTAGTTAAAGGTTTTGAAATTTCAAATAATGTTTGAGGTTCTTGTGGAGATACTAAAGGTAGCTGATGAACTTCGGATAAAACGGGAGTGGTTTCAATTGGCGATATTTCCTGATTTGTTGATGGAATTATTGGTAATGATCGAAGTTCAGTTGGTGTAACAGATAATTGTTGAACTGGAGAAAATACTGATTGATCTTCTCGTATTACTGAAGGAATAGATGAAGTAAGAGATTTTCGTGTTTCGGAACTTATCGGTAAAGTATATGATGATGATTGTTGAGTTTCAAATGATGGAATCAATTGATCTTCTGTAAGAACAGTTGTCGAAGATGAACTTGAAGATTTTTCAATATCTTGTGAAATAACATTGACATTTATTCTATCTTGTTCGTGTTCTTGATCAAATGATTCAATCACTTGTTGTTGTAAAATTTCTTGATTTACAAATTTTTCATCACTAGATGAAGGTTTTATTGATAAAATATTCTCAATTTGAATATTTGTATCTTCACCTAGTGTATCATATTCTGATTGAGTTCTATTACGAGTTATTAAAACCTTCGGAAATGAAAATAAATTTAAATTTAAATTAAAAATAAACTTTAATTATTACCTCCTCTTGTTGATCATTAAATTTACTTTGATTTATACTACTTGTTGTCAATAATGTTGTTTTATTATCTATATAAACCAATATTTTTTTCAATTAAAAAAAAAAATAAAAATCAATAAATGTAGCTCAATTTATTTTACTAAATAACATTTATCATCTAGTATCGTTTCTTTTCAATCTATGCCCTTCAAATTGAACAAATACAGAAGTCTCACATATGTCAGTGTCAAATTGCATTTCAATGCAAATAAATGTGTTTTATACATATATGCAATATACATACATAAAATGTGCAATAGATGAAATAAAAAAATTCGAAAAAAATGATTATTATAAATTTTTTTTTTTTAAAAGTCAACTATTTATTCAAATGATGAAAGTTAATTATGTTAAGTGCTTTTCTATATTTATTTAGGAATATTTCTGTTCTTACCTGTCATTAAATTATTATTGGATTGTAATGTTGTTGGTCTTCTTAAATGCGAAGTATTAATTGATGATTGTTTCTGTCGTTGTTGTCGTCTATGTTCACTTTCTAAAACTCCTCGATAGAGTGTTAATTCAAATTTTAAATTTCGATCATATTCTGTTAAATGATTTAATTTTTCTTTTAATGTTTGTAATTCAATTTTTGTATGTTGTATTTCATTATCTTTAGATATTAATTGTTGTATACGTTCATCATGTAATGAATGAAACTCGACTTCCTATGATAAAGTTTTTAATAAAAACTGAATAAAAAAAAAAGAATATAATTTAAACATACCATAGTAAGAATTTGTTTTGATAATACTTGATTATGATTATTAAGTGTTTTTAAATCTTGTAAAACATGTGGATATTCTTCTTGAAGTCGTTCACGTTCTATTTGATTTGTATGTTGATGAGATATTGTTGATTCAGCAGTTGTGAAATGTTCTTCAACTATTTGTAACATTTTTTTATATTCATTTTCAATTTGTTTTAATTGTGTTTTATTAAGTTGTTCGAAATCTTCACGTATACAAGTTATAGATTCATCTAAACGTGATAATAAATATTCATTAGCTTCAGTTTCTGTTGCTAAAATTGTTTCACGTTCTTCATCAAGAAAATCTTTTGCTGTTTGCATTAATTTAATTTCTTCTTTTAATGTTTGAATTTCAAACTAAATTAAAAATGTTAGAAAAAAAAAAGAATATTTAAACCTTCTTTTTTTTTTTTGTTTTTTATTTTTCTTTTACTTCAGTTTTCGATCGTTCAACACATATCTGTTCGAGTTGTACTTGTAAATTATCAACTTTATTCATAGCTTGTTGATGAGTTTGTTTTTCATTTTCAACATACTTTAAACAATGTTGTAATTGTTCATTTAATTTAAGAAGTTCATTACGAACAGTACGTTCTTTTTTTTGTAAAAAATTTAAACATTTAATTTGTTCTTTTTCATTATTAGCAATAAAATTAATTCGTCGTTTAAATTCTTCACGTTCATTAATAATACGTCTTGCACGTGATTTATATTTATAACGATCAATATGTATATCAGTTAATTGTTGACTTAATTGACGAAAATCATTTAATAAACGTTTTAAATAATTTTCTAATGTTGAAATATAATTTGTACGTATTTGTTGAATATCTTCTTGTAAATGATAATTATCATTATCAATTGTTTTTATATTATCTAAATATGTTTGAAGATTTGTATTAAGATTATGAAATTCTTCACGTTGTAAATTATATGAAATACGAGATTGTTCAACTTGAGAAACAATATCATCAATTAATTGATCTTCGAATATATTAAACATTTGTATAATAAATAATAACACAAAGAGAAAATTTAAAATCTATAATAAGAAGAATACAATGGTATATGCATAGAAAAATTACCAAAAAGCTATTTGGACTTTTTTTTTTTTTTCTTAGAAAAAAAGTCTATTGAAATTTAAGACTGTCGACTCTAGGTTGTGATTCTTCTTTTCTCTCTCTCTCTCTCGCTTTGCACTCTAGGGTAAATATGCAGAGAAAAAAAAAAGAAAAACGTCAAAGCTACCTGTATTTTTTTCCTTGATAGATGGACTCAAAAACAGGACAATGAACTTATAGATAATTTTTTAACATATAGATTTTCTTACTGTCAAATATAATTGACACTGATCAAATGATTGATCTTGAGTATTAGTTTTTAACAATCTATAGTAATAAAGCCTTTTATGTCAACTTAATTATACAAGTTTCAAGAACGAAGAGAAAAAAGAAAATATTGACTATAATGAATCGTTTGTCGCTTTATAACCTACTTAGTATCGTTTGATGTAGTTATTAGAGAGAAAAAAAAAAAAGATCAAATGTTGTATATTATTTTATAAGCAAACGAATAAGATAAAAAAATCAAAATGATATAATAGAAAATAAATCGGTATAATTAATTTTTATCGTATCTGGCTGCAAACAATAATATATATATATAAGATGATTATTAATATGCAAATGAAAATAAAATTATTAAATTTCTATCATACAATTCTTTTGATATGGTAGAATTAACATAATATGTAACAATCAATATTTTTATAGTCTTCTATCTTACAGCTGAAATCTACTTGCTTTTCTTATGATGTACTCTTTTATATTATAAAAAAAAAAGAAGGAAGAAAACAAGGTCATTCTTTTTTTTTTTTGTTATTTTTTCTTCTTGTTCAATTCGTTGCGGTAGAATAAATAAAGACCATAATATTAGTAACAGCATCATAAAGCAGATTTTCAAATGGTAACACCCACGTATAATTCATATACATTACATGACATATAGACCATTATATACATATATAAGTAGGCCTAGTAGTATACGTCATCGTAACCGGTAATGATGTTGATCACAATAGAAATAGCCTTACATCAATAGGTAATATATCCTAAAGAAATATGCATTTTAGTTATCGTTCTCTTCATCACATTTAACCTATAGTTTACTGTTATGTCCACATTCATGCATACATGTATATGGAAGAGCATTCGTGATGTTTAATAAATTGAAAAGTCAAACACAACAAAATTGACATTTGAGACAAAATCAACTTTTTAAATAATAAAAAGTAATATATCGTATGTCATACTATCTTTATATTAAATTTTTAAATTGTTTAATAATAATCATATTTTCATTATGAAAAGTATGAAATATTTTGTTATTCTATTTAATATCAATATGTTTTGATATTATAATACGATTTTTGTATTATATACGTGTACTGAAAATAAATATATATTATAAATTGGAATATAAATTTTCATTCTTTTTGTTTTTCATCGAATGTAACATATTGCTACAAAAAAGAAATATCATATTGATTAGCGAGAGAATTATCGATTGTTGATTTCATATTGTAAATAGTAGAGACATCCTTGAATCGTTGGATCATTTTTTTTAAGCATAAAAATTGAAACCTATGAAAGTTTTTTTTTTTTGAATATGTTATTAGTATTGATTTACTTCTACATGCAATGATAAAGACTTATATCATACATGCATTCATATATGTATTTCTGATCAAAATAAATAGAATACATAATTTTTTCGATTAATTCTTTGCATTATTATTGTCTAGTCTTAAACTTATGCAACAGCTTAAACAGATTTTTTTTACTTTATGTATTGAAAAAGGTTTCAGTTATAAATGATGAGTTCATATACTCGAATTTCGTTGCCATGTTTGTTTTAATGATTTTTTTTGCTCTTTGATCATCCACTCGCAATATTTAGGTACTATTTTCTTATGACTTGAGATTTTGAGAGTCTTACTATTCTTAGGACAGATTATTGTACGACTGAAATTTAATATGAACATGGAATTCAGTTCAGCAAAACACCTTATCGCGACCTACTTTCCTCTTTGTAAAAGACGTCGGACCAATGTCGAGTTTCCGAGAGACAAGAATATCCCTATGTTATATAATCATTTGTTCTAATAAAACAGGAATAAATAGTACTTTTTTAATATTGTTTCAAAGAGAATGTAGGATGTTAGAGAAAAGATATGTGATCTCACGATTTTAAAAAAATAAATACAAAAAGAATAATGTTAATAAATATGCACATGTGTTGATTAAATTGACAAAAAAAAACTGTTCTTGATAATTATAAATATGGTATTATTTATTATCATAGTACACAAAAATGAAAATCAATTAATATAAAATAATAGTGAAATGTTTCGTACTCTTAACATAATATTGGTTCAATTTCTTTATGATTACTTCGAAACCATAAAAATCATATATACAATAATCTTCACAAGATTTTTTCAGTTTAAGAAAACAAGTGAGAATATGACAGTTAATAGTAGAGTTTTCTTTTTTTTCTCTTTCATCAATAACAATACATCAGACACATTTGAATAATATATATGACATGACTATGATCACTACTATTGATACGTATTCATGCCTTGCAAAATAGCCTAGATATACAACAGATCGTAAGATACAAAATAGTTGTTGAGGAATTGCTGGAAAATCAAATCTCTAGTTTTCTGATACCTAAAAATCGGAAGTATAAAATTTGCCCTTACTACGTGTAATGACTGAGCAAGGAATTCTCTATCAAATGAGATGTTTCCAAGCTCTCTATGACATTTCTTGACTAAGCCACATCAGATTCAAAGAAGGCCTCTAGCAACATATTTTTTGTCAGTTCGCTATTCTCTTAATAATCACCGACGTGATTAAACTACTGTAACAAAGACTAGATTGTAATAAACCAATCGATTCATACTATATGTGAGATAAAGGTTTAATTAAAGTTTCATTAGAATTCGAAATATGTTCCTTTCATTTACAAATAGCCTTCTTCGTTAACTATTCTTGATCAGTAGTATCTTCCACAAAGTATTCTATACTAATATATTTTTATTAACATAAACTATTGGTATTGGATTCAGATCAATATAATATCAAGAACACTTATTAAAAATCTTACATAGCGGATATTTTTGTCAGAAATGTAATAAAAAAAATGATATATTGTTTTCTTATTGAACAAGTATTTAGTGTTTTTAGTAATTATCAGTATAATTTGAATGTTTGAAATGACTTCGGTAAAAAAATTTGGAATATTGAAATGCAAAAATTAATTTTTTTGTGTTGTTTTTTTGTCATCACTTATCAAGTGATTCACAAGTTGAACATGTTCAAATAAATTTTTGTCATTTTATAAGGCCAAATTTTAAAGGTTTCGAATTGCCTATTACAAATTGATGTATTCGCTTCTCTTTTTATTTCATTTTAATGCATTATTTTGTTCTTGTTTAGACATGAGAGACTAGAATGATTTGGGTCATCAACAATTCTTTGTTATTCTCTTTTGGTTGAATGCGAACTAATTATTTAAAAATCTTGAAGATCAATTTTTATTCATTGTAGAAAATTTTAAATAAAAAATGTTTTTAATTAATGATGCCATTGAATCATGTTATATTTTGAAATATTGATTTGCCAATCATGTATTTGGGTATTGGTGTAGTGCAAAGAGAATAAGTAGATGTACGTCCACATCTGCAATTCAAAATTTTTTACAAAATCTGAAAACTAACGAACGATGAAAATCAATGAAAACATTGTGGAATAGTGATGAATTGATGATCGACGAAAACAAGATGACAATGATCATTTCATCAATTATTGAGTTCATGAGAATTAATTACGTTTTCTTTTCGTTTTCGATCATCAATCTTCTAATGGATGGAGAAAAATAAAACTAGTGAAACATCATTGACTAACAGTTCATGTCTCAACCATATGTAAGGGATGATTTTCTTGTATGAAATCATTCTATTGAAACAAACATCTCAGCATCAACATATTCTGTAAAAACTCTAATGACTTTTTTAGGAGGTGCAATATAGATTTATTATCATGAAATCTATATATTCATACGGTACCGTATCCTTATTTACACATGTGACGTTGATTATTATGAATATTATATTATAAAAAAATTATTCACAATGTTCTGAACTCGAATTTTAACATTATTTATTAATTCACGTAACGATTTATGTATTCCAATCTCAAATCGAATATGTTGCTATATTATTTTTATATAGTAGGAGAACACAGTGATAAGACAGTTACTAACTCAGTTTAGTTTTTTTTTCTAATTGAGATGTAATAGATGTAAATAAGTTGAGAAATCCTAGTAGCCAATGTGACTTCTCAAGTTATTTTTTTCGATAAGGTAGACTTATTATCTATTCCAGATGGAATAGCTTTTTTTTCTTTGTAGTAGTAGAGTGAGGTATCAACTTATATCACAGCAATCATAACGATCTTATTGAGAAAGCTAGAGAAAGCAAACACATTTACATTTTGTTTTTTACATCCTGTGCGCTTTCTTTATACAATTGAAGATGTGGATGATTCGCAGGTAATGAAAGTCGTGCGATTTCAACGGCACGTTCATAAAATTGACTTGCCTTCGAGTATTCTCCTAAGTCTTTGTACACCGAACCGTAGTTGTGATACGAAACAGCCAAATGCGGATGATTCTGAGGCAGAGCTTTTTCGAATATTCTATGTGCTTTGTCGTGAAACTGAAGTGCTTTCGAATAATCATCCATGTTGCGATACATTTGGCCAATACTACCGTAGGAAATAGCCATGTTTGGATGATTCGGAGGCAGAGTATTTTCTCTTATTTTAAGTGCTTTGTCGTAAAATTCAAGTGCTTTCGAGTAGTTGCCCATGTTATTATACGCTCCACCGATGTTGTTGTAGGAAGTAGCCAAAACGGGATGATTCGGAGGCAGAGTTTTTTCTCTTATTTTAAGTGCTTTTTCGTGAAATTGAAGTGCTTTCGAGTGGTCACCTAATCTGTAATACAATGCACCGATGTTGTCATAGGTTTCAGCCTTATCGGGATGATATGGAGGAAGAGATTTTTCTCTTATTTTAAGCGCTTTCTCATAAAACTCAAGTGCTTTCGAATAGTCACCCATTTTGTTATATGTGACACCGATGTCGTTGTACGTTTCCGCTAATGACGGATCATCTCCTGGGCGAGTTTTACGATTGATTTCAAGACACTTTTCGTAAAATGAAACTGCTTCTTTGTATTGTCCTTGCTGTGATTTTGTGATTCCAAGCCTATGATAGGTAAATGCTTTATCATCGTTGCTAGACGCGTTCTTCAGTAATTCATTGTGGAGTTCTTCAGCTAGATTGAAGTGACCCACATTGAGCATTAGATCGCCCAATCGATGCCATCCTGTGGAACCACGGAGTTCCCCTTTTATGCATTGCATAAGGGCAGCCAGTTGTGGATCATTTTTACCCGTAAGAGCCAATTGAACTTCCCATAGACGACTGCTGTTAACTGCCTGCTTGAGATCACCGACACGAAAAACTGTGTGCATTGAGAAGAGGATTTCTTTTTCACTTTTAATAGCACTGTATTCGTCGATCAACGCAAATGGAGTAGATGAAGACGAAATTTTGCCTGGATCAATTGTCATAACGAACAGAACACCCACAATGTCTGTACTTTTGTGCATCGCACGTTCAACAAATTCCATAGCGACCTCTTGTTTTGTACTAGTCGACAAAAAATTGTTGAATGAAAGAAGTCCACCTTTCGTGTCGACTAAATGCCGAAAGTCTTGTTCGGTAAGTCCCTGACCACGATAAACAATAAATTTTTTCATATAAGCACTCGACTGTTCTCTGTGTAGTTTTTCTAATTGTCGATGAAGACTTCGGATGAAGAAGCTCATTTTTGTCATGGCTTCCATGTCTAGTGATCGTAGGGCGTAGTTGAGCATGCCATAGAGAAAAATTTCACATGTATACCACCAGACTGACGATTTCTGGTGGTATGTACTCTGAAAGTCCTTTAATTCTTGTTCCGATATACCTTTGCTACGACAGTAGACGACCAAATCGTTCAGCGACTTAGCGTCGTCTTCATTCATTTCCAATATTATTTCTTTGAATAATACCGAATACATAAAAGATGGTTCCAATTGGTTCAGACTTTCTTGATCAGATGTTGCTTCCATCGTTCGCTTCGGAACAAAGCTCATGGGAATTGCATCGTGATCACATTCGCGAGTGACCTTTTTTAAAGAATCACATATGGGCTTGATTGAGGTGAAAACACCTTCAATCTTTGACCACTTTGTTGCCCATGCTTCGTATCTTGCTTTATTGCTACAAAAGATGTAAACTGCATCCACTTGTGGCAAACCATGAATTTCTGGAATGAGTTGCTGTCCTAATGCTCCAGATGAGATGACGAAAGCTTTCTCGCTATCCATATCATTAAGAAATTTAATGCATTGCGCCGGCGTCGTACAAAGATTGACCTCTCTGACGACACTGCGCAATTCGGCCACTGTGTTTGCACAATCTTCATTGTTTTCGTCGATACTGCCATCGACCCAGATCAGCGAGTAATTTTGAAGACAACTTTGTTTTGGTCGGCTAACAACAACTGAGGATCTTGCAGGTGCAGCAACACTCATGGCTGATTCGGAAATATGTTGCTTGGATTTTTTTCTCCACTTAAATTGTACACGAAATATGGCTTATTAATTCAAGACGATGAAAAATTGCTTGTTGTTTATACAGAGATCACCTTTTGTATTTACACAATCGATGCCCGCTGTTTTTTTTTCTAGATTTTTCTACGACGTCAAATATGGATGTTTGTTTCTCGTTGATACTCAACAACAAAATCCACCTAGTTTCAATTGAAAATATGGTTGTCAACAAGAAGCGAAAGAGAAAAAAACCAAAAGCATCAGTTTTTTTTCATGGCTATTCTTTTCAACTTTTATTTGCTCTTCTTCTGCACAATCGCTTGAATGTCAATCCATTGGAGACACTTTTTCTCATTCACCAATGACTTTTTTCTTTGATTCTTTAGAACAACTTTTTTCTTTCTTGTAAGAAGGAAAAAAAGCAACAAAGACATCGTCAGTTCGATATTTTTATTATGATTGCAACGAGCATTCTGACAATGTGAACGAAACAACAAGAAAAGTAAATTTAACCTTGATTGAAGCAACAGTCAAGTAACAAGTTTTATCTTTGTCAAATATACTGCATATAATTAACTGATGATTCGAACAGAATAGAACTGTTCGTATCGTGTTTAACCCTTAGCAATATTTACTGCACTCTGCGGTTACTGGAGCGATGGCGAGTTGTCTAAATGGAGTCGGATATATAGCAAGCAAAACAAAGTTTCATCTCATAATTGCATTTATCAACTTTAGTCGTGTCATGTACTAAATAGTTCTAAGTTGAATTTGAGCCAATATTCAAAATAAAATTAGACTTTGTTTTGGGCAAGAGTGTGCGTGAACGAGAGTCCATCAGTCAAAATCACACCCTTTTTAATTTAGAAGTCACAAAAAAGACTTTATCACTGTAACACATGCTGCATCTCTTTGCAAAAATTAGAAGTTTGTCTCTCAAAAAAAAAAAAACAATTTGGCTGTAACGTTCAATGCATGATTCTTTTGGGTTTCTTCTGAAAATGCCATTATGACAAATATGAAAGATCAACAAAAAATTACATTAACAACGAACAAACCAACGAAACAAACACACAAACTGATGATTTTTTACCACTATTGCCACCGTTTTCTCTTTTTTCGTTTGTGTCTGTAGAGTCAGTGGCAATGTGAAAGTATTGTATGTAAACAAAGGAGTGCTGCAGAAACATTATATTGTATTTGTTTTTCCTGTGTTTCGTTTGATGTGTTTGCATCTCATCAAAAGCTTTTTGTTACTCTGTTGACGAGTTTCCATCAATAAAAATACATTAAAATCAATTCAATACTGTTCATTACATTACATTGACTTCGTCTCTCTCCTGCTTATGGATTTGAAAAGCATCTAATATTGCAATAATCTATAGACTAAATATGATTAACATCATTTTAACAGATCATTAAAATCGAACGAATACTGAAGAATTAGTTTTCTATAGTTTTCATTTTTCTCTTGGTTTGATGAGAACATTTTAAAATTTTTTTCAGGTATTTTCGTAGTTTGCAAACATATTTACATTGTGAAATTGAAGAAAAGGATAATGTAGAATAGATTGCTAAGAAATGAAGAAGAGATATTTCCGAAACTTGAACTTGGAATAGATAAAGTTTAAAACTCTAGTACTATTTCTAGTTGGCAACTACATTGACGATGATGATGCTGATTCGCTTGTATCTCTTAAGGAATATGACAGAGATGCTTCATAGTTCAATCGACATATGCTTTCACTCGGGTACGTCAGTAGAGTCAGATCTCAAATCGTAGCTCATGGGCGATAAGTATCTATTACTTAGTTTACGTAAACTAAAAAAGTATAGTCGATGATCATTCAGGCATCAAGAAAACCGAAGTGAGGAATAATATAGTATTCATTATTTTGATAAACATTCGCAGACAATAAGATACCAACATGGGGTGTTACCACACAAATAGAGCATTGATATGCGAAATTTAAGATCGCTTCGAAGCAAAAGACTCTAAAAACTGGAAGACATTATGGAATATCATTTGGTATTGGTACAACATCGTCTACTAATATAAGTGAATACTATCTAAAACATCATTTTGAAATGAGAGATGATCGCTCTCTTCTACGAAAAAGATCCTCATATACTATTGAAGCTTGTAAAGCTCTGAAAATAATCCTAGACAATAATGTTGTTGAGAAGATCAAGTGCGTCGTAAAATCAATGCACAAGAAATATAACTATTGACAATTTCCAAGAATCATAGTTTGACGATATTAAGTAGATACCATTGTGCAACGTAAGATTCTTTACAAAAAAATCTTGTAATCTATTTATGCCTGCTAGACAGAAAATTAATATTTAATACAAAAGAAAGTCAAATACATGTCAAAGCTTGCTTATTAACAAAGAACTATAGCAATAGCTTGAATCTCTTATAAACAAAGAGTAACAAAACGTGGTACAAGAATGACGACAACTAGGAAAGTATTTAATTTATTTACGCAAGATTTATATAGAGAATAGTTTGCGCTTCAGTTTCACTGATTAAAATATCGGACTGTGTCAAATGAAATCTTAGAGATTCGGTTGTCAGTAACAAAGAACCTCAACGACAAATTACATACCCGATATTCACTGCCTTCTATTTTTCTTTTCTAGACTTTTCTACAACATCAAATGTGAGTTTCAATTGAAGAGCAGAAATCTAAACACCAAGCGAGAAAGAAAAACTCAACACCGTCGTTTATTTCATTGTTATTCTTTCCAACTTTCGTTTGCTTTTCATCGGTACAATGTTTGAAGTGTCATTATGCTGAATACGTTTGTCACATGGACTTCTCATTTTGCCTCTTTCTGGAAAGAATGAGAAAAACATCATCAATTCCATTGTTTTTCTTCTACTTTTGTTGGGCATGCTGATAATATGAATGAAGAAAAATCGAAAGATATTTTACTTGCCAAATATATTACTACTATAATTAACATAGATTTAAATGAAAAATAACTGTCCATATCATGCTCTAGCGTCAAAAGTATGCATCTCGCGTCATAATTGGTGAATCTATTTTTTATTCACTTAATTTTTCTCTTATCTTGCTTTTAAATGTTAGTAAGGTTCGCACTACGGTTATATTTTCATTGTTGCTCTAGCTAAAAATAGTTTATTGTTGAATTATCAAGTGTAAGTTTTACTATGATAACTTTTTTTAAGATTGATTCTGACTTTGATCAGCTGATTGACAGACATTTTAGTTACTTGATTTACAATTACAACTAAAAATCCTCAATCCCAGTAACATGTAAGCATCTCTCGGAAAATGTAGCCTACAGTGAATAGTAAGAATGAATGCTCGTAATTCATGAGATCTCGTTTTTTTTCCGACATATCGATACTTGTGCTTCACATTGCATGTCGTATTCGAGGAAAACTCGAACTACGCATTTCAAGAACGGTACATCATCTTATGCACATTGAAACGACATTCTAGAGGTTAAGATCTATGTATGGGTAAATTTTGTCCGTTTTTTTTTTCTGTGTGATATATCGTTTGCCCAAAGTAAAATCCGGATATGATTAATATTTTATGGATTTTGTATAATAAATCAAATAGATAATTAAATCATCATTTAGTAAAGCTCTTTAAAAACCTATCGATAGACGTTGATAGAGTCCTTCTAATAGTGAATCGTATTACGGATACCTTTCGTTTATCCTGGCTTCAATCAATTGAGTACTCTAAAGCATAAAAACATTTCAGAGAAAGGCAATTCATCATAAATAATAGAAAAAAAGATATTTTTTTTTTCCAAGCTCGAGATTCATACTTCGCACCGCGTTTCGTACAGATATTTTTTGATGGATAAAAAACAAAAAAGAAGATAGTCTT